TTATCAGCCGTTATTTTCTGCAGTTCATACACATAAGTGTTTAAGTCATAAGGCTTACGCATTGATTGTAGGGGGGTATTGAAAATGTAGGCTGATCAGGTGAGACCCTGATGGATTTGCTAATTGACAGGGACATAGGTTAGATTTTGAAGAGGTCCATATCTTTGAAAAATTAAGTACAGACTGTACCCTGTTCAGTTTTTTTTTTTTTTTTTTTTTTTTTTTTTTTTTCAGTTAACCACTTAAAAGTTCTCAACTCTGTTTGGTTTAGTCGTCAGTCAAACATTTGCCTGCAAGAGTACTCTCTGAATTGGCAGGGTCTAAGTAAGACGAAGTATTAAATCTCTCAGCTGTCTGTTTACTTACTTAGACCTGACTATTAAAAAGTACTCTGGGCCCTGGATACTCATTTGGTTAGAGCCTCACCCCTATATGCCAAGGTTGCAAGTTCAATCCCGGGTCAGGGCACACAGAAGAATCAACCAATGAAACATAAAATAAGTGAAACAACAAATGGATGTTTCTTTCTCTCTCTCTCTCTCTCTCTCTCTCTCTCTCTCTCTCTCTCAATCAATCAATAAATAAATTTAAAAAAGAAAGCACTCTGATGCAAATAGAAATAAATTAGCCAGGTGTCACTATAATTTCTTTAAAATATTTCTGAGTTTCAGGAAAGCCAATATTATAAAAGCCTTTTTTTTATTGTTGTTTCTTTGCATGCACAGAAAATGAAGTTGTCAGGAACCTTTTGATGAGCCAGATGTTGGGCCCTTGGGGGAACCCCTAACACCCCTTGCCTGGCCCTTGCTGGATGGGTCTGGGTGCCCATGGACTTTCATAGACTTCATCACACCACACACCCATTCTTCATTAACATGGGTTACTGAGCAGGGTTTCCTTAACATGTTTGAAGCTGGGCTTTTAACCCATAGTTGCAAAAAGTCGTTATCAGGGAACAGGCTCAGCTTTAGTCGGTGGGTGATCCTTGTTTCCCCAACTCCCTGACTTATGTGTGAGGAGAGACGGCAGTGGCAGCACTTGGGGATCGGGACTTAGGTGAGAACCCCAGGAATTTTTCAGCTGGAGTCACCAGCCAGTGCTGGTCCATCTGGGCCTCCCCGTGGGCCCCTATTCTTCCTCCCATGTTTGTCTTTGCTTTGCCTGTCACACAGCTCTTGCTACTGCAGGTGCCCACCCTCTAACTCAGGTGCCACATTGGTTGGAGACATCCCCCCTGGAGATTAGAATTCTTCCAGCACCCTTAAACGCCCAGGCTGCAAGCGGCCTCTGCATTCACCCTGACCCTCCAGCATTGCTCCCTTCCTCTGCTGGGTTACCTTTCCTTGTCTTCTGTCCAGAATTAGAAAACTGCCCTAGGGGCTGGCTTGGGCCGCTCAGCCTTTGAACGGCACCACCTAGCTCCTGTGAGAAGCATTTCTCCCAGAATCAGCAGTCTTCCCAGCCGAGGGGCTTGCACGACGGTGTTGCTTAGTTATTTTTTATGTTCTGGTGCTGCCTCTGATTCCCTCGTGCCCTCTCCCCAAACTAGAGCAGCCTTTGTCTTTCCTTTGGTGTCTTGGGGACCTGACCACCAGTGAGTTTCGAAGTCCCCTTTAGCCTTTCTCCCAAGGAACTGGGGCTCTTATAAATGAAGATGTTCGTTGGCCTGTCCTAAGACCCTAGGGCTCTATAAATGAATATACAGATTAGGTGCTTATCCAAACCACCCCGTCAGAGGGAAATAATGCAAAACATGGTGTTTGATACTCACTTTTTGAAAATACCTGTCCTTATTAATGTATGTGTATAGAAGATAAATGTGCCTATTATGGTGTATACACTGCTGTATGTATATACCTGCACGTGTGTCCACATTAAGCCTATGCTTTGCTTTTGTTTGTCTTTTCAAGCTCTCTTAATCACTTGGTTCTCTGAACTTTTTAGCTTATGTGTTGCCTAGCATTGGACTGAAACTTACACCTTAACTAATTCTTATACCCTAACATAGTTAGAAGTTGCTATCCTCTCCTCATTCCTGTTTTCATGCTCTCAGAGTGATCATTGGGTATTCCACATGGCCTTTAGTGGTCGCCGGTCTTGGGCTCTGGGTATAGTGGTCACCAGGAACTGCAGATTCATCTCATCTGCCTTCTTTTCTTCCTCTCTTAAAAAGAATGCCAACTGCTATTGTCCTTTTTTGAAAAACATTTAACTGCCTCATTGAATGACAAAAAGAGGAAGTAATATACAAGTGAAAATATGACTAATGATCCTTTTTCCTACTTGATAGGGACAAGACCTCCTTAGTGAGAATGTTACAAAACATGAGGCAGGTTCTATCACCAGCATAGTTGTAACAAGTAGACTGTTAATATAGTTATACAGATAACTGTTAGAAATGAAGAGGGGACATTTTTTTATGGTCCTAGAACTTTACTGTTGTCCTTTTTAATGTAAGACCAGATAGTAAATACATTTTACCATGTTTTTGTGCTTGTTCCCCACTTAACTCATCTGTAAAAGTTCTAAATGGGAGAGTTTCTGCATGGCCATATTCGCACTTAGGAATCTAGGTCTAGCAAGTCAACCTTGGACTCAGAATTAGGCAATCTGTTCTTGGCTCAGTTCTGTTGTTGAATTGCCTTGTAGACTCTAGGCTTGCCTAATGCATTTGGCCGTGTTTCATAACGCCACGCTAAACAGTATCTGAAGTATCTCAGTTGGCTGCAGTGACCATGGAGACTTAACAGTAGAAGACATGGTGTAAAATAAGTATAACACCTACTGGTGAGGATGAAACAGCACCTGTAGGATGCAGGTGTTGGAGTTTGTGTAGGGATGGGTATTGCTTATAAAAGAAGAGTCTGAAGTAAGGGGTGGGTAGGCAGTATTGTTTCTGGGGCCATTCTTTCCCTTTTTAAATGGTGACTTCACTTCTGCTTAAGCTTGTCACCATCTGTTTTGCTTCTCTTCTCTGCCTTTACCCAATATAGACCTCTAGGCAGGCAAAAAGACTCAAACCCAGAAAACCAATTGATCTTTTTTAGCAACTCCCACGAAAGATTTCAAGTGGGACAGAGATTTTTACTGTTCATATTTCCTATGCCTTATATTTTGTGTAATTAAAAACTTAAGCTTTTCTTATAAATAACATTTTTATTAAAATATAATTTTTTTTTTAATATATTTTATTGACTTTTCACAGAGAGGCAGGGAGAGAGATAGAGAGCTAGAAACATCGATGAGAGAGAAACATCGATCAGCCGCCTCCTGCACACCTCCCACTGGGGATGTGCCCGCAACCCAGGCACATGCCCTTGACCGGAATCAAACCCGGGACCCTTCAGTCCGCAGGCCGACGCTCCATCCACTGAGCCAAACCGGTCTCGGCTTAAAATATAATTTCATTTAACCGGTCCTCATCCTCCATAGAGTATCTTACATAGTATCTCTGTGGCCCCAGACTCACCCTAATGGATGATTAAAGGCTATGATTCTGAAATTATGCTCCAGAATCAATGCTTGGTTTCTCATTTACAAAGAAAAATGAGAGTAACTATAAAACTGGCTGGGAAATTACTTGGAGTAACCACAACCCTGATACAGATAAGGTAAAATTAACTTCTCTTCTGACAAACTAGGCTCTGCTTTAAAACTCTCTCTTGCTTTCCCTAACTAGTACGTGTAAACTAAACAAGCAGTGAGAAGTTTTTCATTTTGGTCTTTGACCAGGTCAATATCTTGGCTTTTTTAAATGTGTAACTTCGGCCCTCGCAGCTCATTTGTGGCCCAATTTGGGGAATGCTTGCATGAAAGAGGTCTTTGGAAAGACTATATAGCATTGAATGTCAGAATAATGATATTACAAATGTTCTACCTCTTTCTTCCCGAAATACAAACAGTTAGAGGGTCTTAAAACTTGAATGGTACCTTTACAGCATTTGACTTCAGAAGGCAGAATTGCTGTTGTGTTGATTCCTGGTTTGCCTTATTCAAGGGTGTGCCTCTATATTGTGTAATAAACTTACATTTAATATTTTAGTGTAATCTTAGTAAAGTTTATTTAAGTTTTACATTATTTAAGGCTGTGGAAAGTTGTATGTTTCATAATATTTTCCTAACAGTTAACCAGTATTACTTTACAATTTTTTAATGGTCAGTGCTATTTTAAGAAAGATATATTTAGACATACTACTGAACATATAAATATATGTGATTACTCATTACTTTTAATTAATACTTTCCCATCCTGGCTTATTTCTAAAACAAGCTATCTCAGTAGATAACTAAAAGATAATACTTCTTTTAGGGAAGAGGGAGAAGCAATGTTTTCTATACTTTTTCTCAATTAAAGATACCAGATCATAGAGCATTTCTGTGGTAGGAGATGAATATTGATTAAAAACACTCTGGACAAATTGAAATGGATTTATGATTGGTATTATTTTCCTTACATTAAATATTCAAAATGGACAAAACTTATTTCTTCTAACGTAGAAGCACTTGTTTATATTTTACAATTAAATAGTAAAATACTTCTATTTTAAAGAGACTTACTGAATGGTATTTCTTCATGGTGAGAATTAGATAAATGAACTAAAGTTGGTTGACATCTAAAAAGTTAAGTTAGTGTTCAGAATATAAACAATTATTATTTTACTTTGGAAAAGAGTTTGCTCTTAAAATAGAAAGGCAGATGTTGAGTACAACAGATGCGAGTGACCCTTTTGCTCAGAAGAAGTGAAATGTCATCACAGTATGGAAAAAGGTACACTGGCTACCTTGAAGAGTGGCGCCCACAGGTAAAAGAGCAACAGCCTTCCTACGTAATTGGTCAGGCAGCTATACCCAGGAGCACAGGACAGGTGAATGCAGGCAAGCCTGTAGAATGCTAACAATGTCTAAAAAACAAAACAACACAGAAATACTGTAACAGAGCTACATTGATACGGAAGATTAAGTAGCATCCTGTAAAATATGACCAGGGCTGGGGGATAGGTGGGCGTGGGCTGACAACGCAGCAAGCGGGCTAACACAGTCCCCTTCCTCGGTATGAGACACAGGGCTCTTTCTGATGGTTGAAGCCAGAGTAGTACTAGGTTATCTTCTCTCGTAAGATTGTCAGATGACAGATGATAATTATTGTACAGAGTAGAGAGCTCACTGGGCTTGCAATGCAAAGACCTAGGTTCTGTTCCCAGCTTTCCCCTTAACTTTTCAGTGACTTTGGACCAGTTTCTGTGAGCCTCAGTTTCTTGGTTTACAAAATGTGAGCACCGTTATCTGCCCTCTTCAGCTCTCAGAACTGTGAGGATTTTATGAGGTAGTATGTGCAAGATCTTCATAAACTGTCTCTTGCCATAGAGGGAGGATCCTAATCCTTAAATGGGGCCAGTTCTCCAGGAGGGTGGGAGAAGGAAGTGAGATAAAGCTTTTGGAACATTTTGCTCTGTGAAACGTAGTTCTTTTATTAGTACTGCTTTAAAGGTATCTTGTAAAACAATTCCCCAGCCCATTAGTATGGTGTGAATTGTACACAAACACTACCCTTGGATTCAGAACCGCCTGGGTTCTGGATATTGGGGAGATTCAGATACATGGTACCTGTTTCAGAAAGCTCCAGGCTGTCAAGGAGCCAGCAAGTTAGCAGTGTAACTTAGAAGCAAACCCACGGCTACAGGAGCACAGAAAAGGGAGGACGTCCCAGTTTTCCAGAAAGCACCATGGCCTGTTTACAAAAGCACTTAAGACAACGATAGTCGAAAGAATCCAGTGCCAAAAAGCCCACGCTTTAAGGATAGACTGAGTTTGAATTCTGGCTCCACCACTTACTCCTGTGTGACGCTGGAGGCTTCCTTAACCTGTCTGTGCCTTGGTTTCGTCATGTACAAAATGGACATCACAATAGAACCTGTCTCATAATTTTGAGAGCTCTGCACTCAAAACATATTTTTATCATTTGATTTTTAAGGGCTTACTTTAAAATTCCCCCTTGTGGAATGTAGATTGGTGTTTATAACTAAAATTCCTGCATTTCTAGAGGTGGAATCCTGACACAACAGTTTTCCTATTTATTTATAATATAGTGAAAACACTTTCATAGGTTTATATTGTAAAACTGCTTTACAGAAAAGTAGTTACGCAGGTCATACAGTTGTGCAATATACTTGTTTGTCAGATTACCTTTTATCCTTGGAAACAGGATTGCAGAAGTAGCATCAGTAAACATTAGGTAACCACCAGCTAGAATTGGTTAATGTACAGATCTTGTGAAATTAATAGTAAGTGGTTCAAGACATTGTGTCATGCTTTGTGATTCTCCTATGCTTTCACGTAAACCCTCTCTCAGCCCTTCAGCCCCCCGGTGTGGAAGGCAGGCAGTTGGCAGGCGTAAGCTGCTCTCAGCCTCGGTTTCTGCTCTGAGGCTTGAGGAGGGTCCCAGGACAAGTGTGCCCAGAGCTGGCGCCAGGACCCTTCCTCTGGCTTTGGTCCCCTGGTGGTTCCGGTGGATCCTAACAAAACGCTTCTAAAGGCTCAGGCAGCTGCCGTCATCAGGGGAAACATCATGTGGAGGAGAATTTCTGAATGAACAAGGGTATAGTTATCTCAGTCTTTGAATGTAATTTGCTTTTTTATAGATTGAAAATTGTGCGATAACCCGTTTCTATATCTCCTTAATGTGGTTGACATACTGGGGACTTCGCAGCGTCCCTCCCTGCACCTCCTGAGGATAATGCAGTCTCGCCTGCCGCACCCCAGGGCCCTCACTGCCTGTGACAGCGTCATGGCAACTGCCCTTTTAGGGGTGGAGGTTCAGGTACCTGTCAGGCCACCTTGACAGTCACTTAGACACAGAGGAGAAGCTCCTCATCTTCAGTGGCTGCTGTGTCCAGAGAGGCACCAGGAGCTTCCCACGCTTTCCCTGCCTATTTCCCCCCGCCCCCCACCCCCACCCCTTTCTCAGAACAGCTCTGTCTTGGTCACTAGTGCTCTTCTCGAGGATCTGGTATCTCGGCCTTTGCCATTTCTGATTTCCAATTTTGTTTCTGTTCTCTGCCACATATCTCTGTGGCTTGCCTTCCTCTTCTCTGATCTACATGTTATTTTAGCAAAGCCTTTGTTGAGCACCTATTACGTGCTATGCCCCGAGGATGCAAAAGTAAGGGAGAAAGCCAGACAGGAAAATGAGTGTAATAGGGCGCAGGGAAGCACAGGCAAGGGTAGTGCCTGGGCACCGAGCGGGGTAGGATGGTTCACCTGGCGACTCGGGAGCATCCTCCCAGAGCAGGCGTGGCTGTGCCTGTTCACCTGTAGGAAACTGGGAGGGAATCTCAGGCCAACGAAGAGTGGGAGCCAACTGACATGTTTTCAAGAAATGAAAAGTGGTGTAACTGGAGATTTGTGACCTAGAGATCCAGGGTGCGCAGGTGCGAGGCACGGCTGAAAAGATAGCCAGGGGCCAAGTTGTAAGGGATCTGGTGTCCTCGCTGAGGTGTGGGACCTTACCTAGAGGTAATGAAGAGCCAGAGAGCCAGGCGCGAAGGCTGTCCCTGGTGCGTGAGCCTGCTGACTCGCTGCTAGGCCAAGTCAGGGCTGAAGGGGGGTAGATGGGAAGATGGGCACGCATTAGGAAGCTCTCGCAGTCACATGGAGAGAGAGGATGAGGATCAACAGCTGGAGTGTGGAAAGGAGGGGAAGTTCAGTGTTTCAGAGCAAGAATCAGCAGGGCTTGGTGAGAGGAGAGAGGCCGAGGCATCGTCAGCTTCTAGCGTAGAACTGCCTGCTGGTGCCATGAGCTAAAGTCGGGCTGTAGGCAGGGGAGTAGTGGGGAGGGTCCTGGCTCCGTTTTGCAGGGTAAAGGAGTGTGGACTTCCAGGCGGAGTTGCACAGGACCTATTGGAAACATGGGTCCAGGCTCAGGAGTCAGAGCTAAAGAAATGGTGACTTTAGGGTTGAGATGATGGTTAAAACCTCAGGCTGTCCCCGGAGCGTATGTATAGGGGAAAAGAAAAGAAAAAGAGAGAAGGTAACTGAGGACACATCAGAGAAAACCAGCCTGAAAGGATGGCCAGCGTGTTACTGGGACTCATGTTGGGTGTAGTGAATGGAGCGCCCACCAGCAAACACTTAAGGGTGATGATGAGGAGGAGGAGCCGCCAAAGAGCCTTAGGACAGAAAAGTCTGCCACGGGGAGGAGTGGGGATACCTGTCCCGGGGCAGAGGCTGCTTGGATTCCCGTGCCATGACTCAGAGCTCACTGGCACCTGGGACTGTGTGCAGGTGCCGTCTCTTCTGTTCTCTGTGTCCCATTGCTTCTTGGTTTTTACTTGAACACCCAGTACGTATCGATACGAGCCAATCAGGACAGTCTTTCTTTCTAATTGGAAATCTGACCGAATGGAGTGTGGGTATAATTTTTGCCCTTTCACCAGCTTTGGCTGTTCTTGTTCGTAGCTCAGAAGCCTTTCTTATCCTCGCCTTCAGACAGCAGACCTTGTTCTGGTTTTAGCCAGCCGACAACAGATTAGAAAGTTCCTCCCCAAAAGTTTTACTCCACATGGCCCTGGGCCTTTTAATGGGATGTCTGGTTGTCCATGGCTTCAGCTGTACGCATGCTGAGAGTCTGATGCTCGGGGCCTCTGAGGATCCTGCGCTGGGCTGGAGTTACCTTTCATGGTATCACCAACTCCTCAAACAGATTATGAATCCAATATTTAAAGAAATGTGTGTGTGTGTGTGTGTGTGTGTGTGTGTGTGTGTGTGGTGTGTGTGTATGTATAATACTGGGGGGGAGGAGAGCGTTAACATCTAAACATAAGCAAGCCACCTGACTTGATGCCTAAAGAACTAGCCATCAGTTCCCGTGCTGGAGGAAGTAAGCTGTCTTAGGCCCGTTGACATAGTAGGCCTGCCTCTGAGTCTTCCTAGGGGCATTGCAAGGGTCTTTTTGACTATAAATGCATGCAGACCTTACATAGGATGCAACTCCTTAATAAGAAAAAACAGACACGAAATCACCTCCTCTAGTTGTAATTTTCGGGAGGGGACACCACTACTGCATTTGGTGAGAGGACCAGAAGGCCAGCTCAGAGCAGAGAGGGCAGTTTGAAACCTTTGGTATCCTGAGTTCTGGCAGAGAGTTGGGCTTCCCCAGGAGAAGGAGTGGGAATGTCCGTGGAGTCGGGTGCTGAGAGGTCCAGGAGGCGACGGGCCGGGAGGGAGTGTGACAGGTTGGAAATAGCTGAGGTCAAGCATTACCAGCTTGGCTTCTTGTCTCTAGTCGGTCAGCTGTAGCCAAGTGGGAAATCCCAGCCTCCCCTGGCCTGATCACCTCATCGGAGGCGAGAAGACTCGGGCTGTGTTAGCTGTGGAGGGACAGAGGAAACAGGTGGCAAATTAAAGAGCCAAGGAAAGGGAGGTCTTTCAGATCTGGTTGAAGTTCTGCTTGGTATGACTGACTATTGTAGGGGTTTGGTACGAGCCAGCCCAAGATGTACCTCAGTGGTATGCAGATTATTCTGGGCTAAAGGCAACCAAGATCCTGTGGGCTCAATAGAAACTTCTGCCACCCCTACCCCCACCCCCACCCAAATATCTAGAACAATGGTTCTCAACCTGTGGGTTGCGACCCCTTTGGCGGTCGAACGACCCTTTCACAGGGGTCGCCTAAGACCATCCTGCATATTAGATATTTACATTACGATTCATAACAGTAGCAACGTTACAGTTATGAAGTAGCAACAAAAATAATTTTATGGTTGGGTCACAACATGAGGAACTGTATTTAAAGGGCCAAAAGGTTGAGAACCACTGATCTAGAAGAATTTAAATTAGGGGCCTGGCCCATGATAAGAGTTACCACCAGAAGTAACTTTTTTACCTATGTACATGGCAGGGCAAACTCATAATTACGGAACTCGGGCAGCTACCTTCTGAAGCCCCAAGGTGCCTAACCTGAACCCTAGCTCAGAATGTCATGGATACTCTATTTTCCCTTTTTGTCTCTGAACCTCTCATGTATGCGGGGTTCCCACACATGTGTATGTAATTGAATTTGGTCACTTTCTCTTACTAATCTGCCTCCTGTTTATTAGATCATTAGACCAGCTGATAGAACCTGGGGGTAGGGGAGCTTCTTCCTCCCCTGCACCATGGGTAGCATCCTGTGTAAGCCTTCACCTAGCAATCGATGGACACTTTTGCAGGATCTCTGAAGCTGAGGTTACACCAGTATCCATGTAGTTCACCCAGGATAGTTCTTGGACTGAAGCAATGCCTGTTAGATGACTTGACTTTCTTTAAAAAAAACATACATATATATACACATATGGATATATATATGTGTGTGTGTGTATATACATATATGTACATATATGTATATCTCCATGTCATATTTACTGTGTGTATATGTGTGTGTGTGTATATATTTTGACTGTACTCTTACCTGCCTTCATAGTTCTATGTAACCTATAAGACACAGGACTGGGCTCTTGCAAAACACTTTTCAGACTATTCTGGCTCATAGTATTGTCTCTTCTGTATTCCTGTGGAATTTTCAGTTTATACCACACAGAGAAGCAGTTTTCTCAGCAGTCTTTGCTAATGATTTATGTATAGTTCAGTTTTGGGCACAGAATTATAGATGACTTTGTTTTATTCTTTCATCATTGTTTTATATATGTATTACCTATGGCCCCAGCTAGCATATAAGTTCCTTGATAAATACTGTTCTTTTGTTTTGTGTCATTTTCTTTTCCTGTAGAGCTTTCATTGTTGAGGTTCCTCAGTGCTGAACTAACAAGAGGGTACTTCCTTGAACATAATGAGGCCAAGTACACAGAAAGAAGAGAAAGAGTGTACACTTGTATGCGAATACCAAGAGAATTGGAAAAGGTACCTTTTTTTTCTATTACCAGACATCATTTTGAAAGTTATGTCAATGTGCTAATCATACCAAAAAAAAAAAATAGTGAACAGCTTGAGTTGAGTTTTTAAATATTTGGAAATAATTAAATATATTGGGGGAGTAGGATAAAGAAAGAGGCTTTAAAGAGTATATTTTTAGTGTGAGATCCAATGATTCTTAACTTTGTTTCTTAGTAAACTCATCCTATTTCCATGTGTGTCCCATCCAAATAACCTTTTCCAAGGAATTAATCTCCACTTATTCTGTTAGTTCTCTTCAATTTTGTTTTATTAGAAACAGTTCTTTTTTCCATTCAGCATAATAAATTATTTAATGTCAGCCTTCTTTAAGGTTTTAGTTTCTCAGACAGCCTTCATATTTAAAAACATAAATTATAGTCTCTTCAAGAAAAAGGTGGTTCATTTTGCCTTCATCACAGAAAATATCACATCATAGGTTGGCATAGTTATAACAGCTCCGTGTCTATACACACCATGTTCCCTCGATTGTGTCTCAGTCTGTCTAGACCAGTCAGATGTGGCAGGAAGCTACTCTCCTCTACATTGCTAGAGGAGACTGGTGACTCTGAGCACTTCCACATTTCTTGCTAGAAAGAAAGAAGAAATAATTTAGCTTTAGCTATATTAAAACATGTTTTCATAGTTTTATAGTAACACTAGAGGCCCAGTGCATGAAATTCATGCACGGGTAGGGTCCCTAGTGACAGCCAGCTGCCGGCTGGGCCTTCCTTCATTCCACACCACCCCCTGGTGGTCATGCCGGCTGGGCCTTCCTTCATTCCACACCACCCCCTGGTGGTCATGCCAACTGGGCCTTCCTTCATTCCACACCACCCCCTGGTGGTCAGCACACATCGTAGCGAGCAATCGAACTCCAGGTCTCAAGTTGAACTCCGGAGGAGACACTTTGCATATTAGGCTTTTATATATATAGATACAACTTAAAATATTTCAGTCACTTCCTTAGAACCGTATTATCTGTTCCAGTGGCTGTCAGAAGAGTGTTGTTGGTTTGTTTTATCACATATAATAATGGCAAGAGGTGTGATAGGCAGTGAGAAGCGAGGATCAGCTGGTTTGGCTGATGCTCTTTTTTTTATGACTGTCCGTCAGTTGGGTAGAAGGATGAGTCAGGCGTAGAGTGACAACTTGAGAAATGTTGCTGCACATAGGTTCTTGGTGGCATGTCACATGCTGAAGTTTTAGGAAGTTCCGTGTTGGGAAGATCGGAGAGCTAGGGAACCAGCAAAGATTTTGGGAGAGAACACACATGACAGTGCAGTTCTGTGTTGCCCTAGGTCAGGATCAGTGAATGTGCTTGGTTTATTTGTTCTAGGGAGTTCTAGGGTCCCAGGGGAGCCGAGGGCCTGGAGGATGAGAAGGGAGGGGAAGGGGTGTGCGGGCGCGCGCTGCAGCAGCCTCCTCTTGCAGCAGCGCCTTTGTTCTGTATATTGGAGTTTGTGTAAGATTTTCTTAGGGGTGGAGGATAATGTTTCTTATGCTTGCAAAAAGAAAGATTACACTAATTCTTGGATCTTTCTTAGAACACTTTAAAAAACTTGCTTTTCAAAGCTCACTTCTTCCATGTTCTTGTCAGGACAACGTTGGCCCGTTGGCCAGCCACAGACAGCTTACCCACCTGCTTTCTGCAGGGAAGTGCTTTCTTCCACCTGGTGGAGCAGATCTGGACTCCGTTCTCTGGGGAGAACACAGAGGGCTTTGCCTGTAGCCACAGCCAGGCCAGGGACACACCCAGGGGACTGCTTCAGAGCGGGGAGGTGTCTGTCTGTCTGACCCTGTCTTACCCATCCTGTGACACAAATAATGAGCAGTGACAGCATCCCTTTATAATTCTATCACCTCATCAGAGGCAGTTCAATACACATCATTCTCTCTTCTTTATTGGTAACATTGAAATAACAAGCAAGTTTTTTAGTAGATTTCTCGTAGAAACTTATAAGAGTTTCATGTTTGTTATTGTGAGTATTAAGTTGTCTTCTGGGGAAAATGCCTACAGGTCTTGATAAGACTAAAGTATAAATCAGTGTTTTTCAAACTGTAATCCATGACAGAACCACTGATGGGTAACCTATATGTATGGATTTTTTTTTTAAGAAAAGAATAGAAGCATTAGAGCACATTGCCTATACTAAGGGTATTTTTTTTGTGTGTGTGTGAAACTTTGGTTTCATTTGTATGTATGTAAAATGTAGAATGTCAGGAAAATTGAATTATTACTGTTCATGCACAGTTGTCATAACTTTCTAACCCTGCTTCCCATGAAGGAGGGTGTTGGTGTTAGGCCTATTTGGGAAAATTTGATTTAGTCTCTTAGAGCAACACTCTAGAAGCTTTATTGTTTAAAATGCAGGAAAGGAAGTCATACATTTCAGTTCAAGGCATTCTTCACTTCTAAGACTAAGGGAAACCTAGAGTGGAGGTAGATTTCAGTTTAACTTCGGGCTTAAATATCTCTCCTAACCATGAATGATACCCCTGTGGCCCTTATTTTCTATGAATAGTGTTTCACCTCGGGCTTTCTTTATAAGAGCTGGGAGAATATCTAGACATTCATGTTAATCTAAATTAGGTTTCCTTTGTGGTTGCATTGTCTATTCTAATACATAACCCCTTACTCATTTTTGTACTTGTTTTCGGTAAACGTTAAGACATTTTCTCCTAGCCTTTGGAGGGAGAGACACTTGATTACAGAGTGCTTTGCTTCCACAAGGGTTGCACGCATGGTACTATAAAACATGTAACTAACGTTTGTACTTTCAAAAGAAGAGAAAGATCAATATCTCTTACTGAACCTGTTTACTAATGTAAAAAAATCCCAGATTTTTGTCCAAGGGCTAATTTTGTCATCTGTATGAATCTAAAATTGCAGCAAATGGTAAAAAAAAAAAAAAAAAATCACAGTATTTTCTAAAATTACCTCATATATATAAATGCTAATGTAGAGAAATAATAGATCACTTATTCATTTATTTGTTTATTTTCCTGGTCTTTGTTTTGAATACTTACTATGTTCCAGGTACTTTTACAGTGAGGAAGGACTTGTGAAGGTAATTGGCAAGGTGATGAGAAAAAGAGGTAGATTTTGTCCGTGCATTGTAGGGCCTATGAGTGTGTGTGTGTGGGGGGGGGGGGCGTGTGGGGGGGTGGAATCTGTGAGGTTCACACAGGAAAGGACAGGTACACTGGAAGGACAGGCTGGATCCAGGCTGGTGAAGCTAAGGAGATTAGACTGGCTTTGGGAGGACTGTTAAAATAGGTTTCTTTCTTTTTTTTTTTTACAGAGAGCAAGGGAGAGGGAGAGAGAGTTAGAAACATTGATGAGAGAGAAACATCGATCAGCTGCCTCCTGCACACCTCCTACTGGGGATGTGCCCGCAACCAAGGTACATGCCCTTGACAGGAATCGAACCTGGGACCCTTGAGTCCGCAGGCCGACGCTCTTTCCACTGAGCCAAACCGGTTAGGGCTAAAATAGATTTCTTTGGCGTACTTTGAGCTGTGTATAAAACAGAATACTAACAGTTAGCTATGTATGTAATAGGATACCTAACCGTGGCTTAAATAAATAAGATTTTTTTTTTTAGCAAGTCTCAAGGAAGGAGGTCTCAATTGGTCCAGTAGATTAATGAAGCCAGCATGGACCAAATCTTTTTGATCCCTCTACCAGTATTTTGCCATCGTTGGCAAATTGGCTTTTGGTCCTCTTGCTCGTTGCAGCCTCAGGCATCACATCTGCATGATAAGCAGAAAGAAGAGATGAACAGTCCCCTCTCTGACTGTTCCTTTTATAAAGAATTAAAAGCTTTCCCAGAAGTGCCCAGCAGACTTCCTTCTGCTTGTATCTTACTGGCCAAGCTGAGTTATACACTCGTCCCCAGCTGCATGGGACACAAGGGCAGTAAGTGCTCTGCTTTGCCAGCAAAAGGAGAACCGATTGAGGGTGGTAATCGGATTAGCCACCTCTCAGAGCTATGCTTCTGAAAAATTAGGATCGCAGTGTTCAACATGGATTAGAAGTAAAAGAAGCAAGAAGATCTCAAGATCTCACCATGTGCATATCCTTCTTCAAATGAAAATCCATTGATTGATTTACCTTTAAGAAATTTATTCCTCATGTTAATTATATGTCAGGTGTAGGTTGTGATTAATACGAAGCCTTTTCTCAGAATTACTTATTTTCTGTGGTTATGTGTGTTTATGTAACCTTGCCTGTCATAAAAGTTAAAATTAAAATAACATTTTTGAATTTTTTTTACATTGTAATTCTATGCTTTTTGGCAATCCCTTATTGCTACTATGCTTTGTATATTATAGTTACTTAATACATTTTTTAAAATTGAATTCAGCTAATTAGTCTTTAAATGCAACTATTTAACTGTCTTAAGAATCTAGTGAATTTTTATTTTTAACTTTAAGTTTGTCAGATTGAAAATATAGGTATTGCTGTAGGTATAGAATATTGTTGTTTTTAGGCATAAGCTATTATTATTATTGAAAGAGAGAAAGGTTACTGTCACACAGGGGAGTATTTGTGGTAAAGATTCAATACCCTTCGCTTCTCATCTCAGGTCTGCAGGGCATAGCCAAGTGATCCAGTCGAGCCTGGAACCTCCTTTGGCTTTGACTTCATCTAAAATTAGAAGGTTGAACTAAGTCATCTCAGAAGGGCTAATGATTGCATATGAGAAACAGGAGAAATGGGGTGCATGGAGAGACCCCAGAAAGCGGTGTTACATAAAAGTGAAGGAACTTTGTTCTGCTTGTTTGAGGGTCAGAGAAGATAACATTTGGGAAAAATAATTGTAAAAGTTCCTTTCAAACTAATGGATTTAATGACAGTGTCATATAAAGCCTTTTTGTTGTTTCTCACTGTGAGGTATGTGTTAAGAAAGTGTAGTCATGGCCATTGTCTCACCCTGGTTCAGTAAACAGCCCTTGGATTTCCT